TGGGTGACCTTGGGCAAGTCACACTCTCTCAGCCTCAGAGGATGGCTGAGGTGGCAAAACCCCTCTGGAGAAAGTTGGCAAGAAAAAACAACAACAACAACTAAACTGGGCAACAAAGATGGTCCTTTTGAGGAAACACAAGTAAGTTTGTGTTTCTCTTCCCTGCCAAGAAAAACAACAACAAACAAACTGTATGATAGGTTCGCCTTTGTTGCTGTTGTTAGGCGCCTTCAAATTGTTTCCGATTCACAGGGACCCTATCAAGGGGTTTTCTTCACAAGGTTTGTTCAGAGTTATTTTGTTTTGCCATTGCCATTGCCATCCCCTCAGGCTGAGAGAGTGTAACATATCCCAGAGCCGTAGTCCAGCACTCAAACAACCACGCCACACTGGCTCCTCAGGCTCACCTTGCTGTTTGTTGCGTGTACCTTCAGGTCGTTTCTGACTTATGGAGACCCTAAGGCGAACCTACCATGGAGCTTTCTTGGCAAGTTTCTTGAGAGGGGTTTTGCCATGGCCATCCTCTGAGGCTGAGAGAATGTGACTTGCCCAAGGTCACTCAGTGGTTTTACATGGGCCGGGCAAGGATTCGAACCCTGGTCTCCAGAGTCCAACACTCAAAGCACAATGCCACACTGGTTTTCAGGGTCGCCTTAGGGTTGCCCTAAGTCAGAAGCGACTTGAAGGCACAGAGCAAGGAGCAAGAGATGTAGGCAAAAGGCTGGGTTTTGAGCCAGGGCTCGACTCACTTAATGGAGGGGACTGAGGAAGGCTGAGCTGCTGCCCTCTCCGCAAAGGAGCCCTTTCCCTGCAGCAGCCGAAACCTTTTCCTTCCCAGGCTGGGCTCCTCAGGTGAACTTTAGATCTGCTGAGGTCGCAAGAGGCGGTGGCACTTGGCATCCCTGGGAGACTTTGTGGTGCCTCTGGGAATCCTGTGCTGCAGCAGACGATGAACAGAAGCCGCCTCTTCTCTGCTGAAATAAGCCAGGTTGACCCCGCTTTAACTGCCATGGCTCAAGGCTGTGGAATCCTGGGATTTGTACTTTGTTGTGGCACCATAGGTTTCTGACATAGAAGGCTCAGTCAGGGTGACCAGAGGTCCTCCTTTTCCAGGACGGGTCCCACACTGTGTCTTGGAGGAACGCCAAAATGTCCTCCATTTGGAGCATGGCTAAGAAGCATGATTTTTCATTTATAGCAATGTTTTGAGCTTTTATTTTGTCATGCCCTACATGTTTCTTGGATTTCCTACATTTGGCGGTGCCTTGTCCTCCTTTGCGGTTAGGACATCTAGTCAGCCCAGGTTAAATGTCTCAAAGAACAATTCCCAGAACCCCATAGCATTGAGCCGTGGCAGTTAAAGCAGTGTCAACCTGGATTATTTCTGCAGTGTGGGTGAACAAATTTGCCAGAGGGAGTTAGAAGGGAGTCTCTGGCTTTTCAAAATGAGGAGCTCTTAGGAGTTTGTGTGGCTCCCTTCACACTGTATTTTTATCCCACCCGTCCTCCAGAGAGCTCAGGATAGCTCACAACCTTATCTGCAGCCTTTGCCTCCTTCCCATCTCACAAATAGTTCCCTGGCAGAAGCCTTGACCAGTAAATGAGGCTGAGGTCATACAACTTGCATGAAGTACCAGGCATGCAAAGGTGCTTGAAACATGAAGATGACAAGAGTACCTTTGAGCATGGACAGATTATTGTTGATCTACCACTGCTAGCAATACATTTGGAATTTTCTCATACTGAAAAGTGTGATTTGATCACTAGTGCCTTCCACTTTTGAAACTGAACATGAGTGGTTGGATCAAAGTTTCAAAGCCAAGAAGCAATTTGAAGTTATACAAATCTCTGTGGACTGCTGAAATTCCTGTTACTGTTTTTGTTATATGCCTTCATGTTACCTCTGACTTGTGGCATTTTCTTGATAAGTTTTCTTGATAAGTTTAATTCAGTGGAGGTTTGACGTTGCATTCCTCTGAGGATGAGAGAGTGTGACTTGCCTAAGGTCAACTAGTGGATTTCCATGGCAGAGTAAGGATTCAAACCATGGTCTCCCAGAGTCCTAGTCCAGTGCTTGACCACTACACCATGGTGGCTCTACTAAATGAAATTGATGACAGTCAACCTATTCTGTAGCTTTGGTAAAGCCCTGTAAAATTAGCAAGACTGCTCAAAATAAGAATTACTGCAGTAGCCTTTTCCAGAATAGTGAATTTAAGGAGAAATTTATTTATATATCAATAAGTGTTTTTTGTATAGTGTTTTTGTAAACATTTACAGATGGTGACCTGTATCCTGGAAATCATCAGTCAGTTGCATTTAGAAAGACAATATAAGTTGTTATTAAGATTTGTATAGAAAGATACTGCCAAATGGTGTATTGCTTACCAAACTTAACTTGTGTTTCCTCAGGAGGACCATGCTGTGTGTGGTCAAGTAAGAGCTGGGAAAACATACTTTTTTGGGCTATGACTCCCAAACTGTACAGCTCCCAAACTTATAACTGCTAGTGCCTGGGAATTCTGAGAGTTGCAGTTCAAACATATAAACTTTCCAAGCTCTGGACAAAACTTGG